AACGGGAAACACATTTGCACGCATCACTGAATTTCCTTTAAGTGTCTCCCTGAATTTCTATTTTTTTGTGGCTAACAAAGCAAAACAACCTATTCATCTTTGCCTCAAGCAAAATTTATGCCACCATTCAACCCATTACAACCTCACAAAACGCAAACGCAGCAAGAAGGTAAGCGCTCAAAGAAAAATGTGCTAAAATGAGTGCCAATTAAATAAGTGAGCATTTTTGAAATGTTTACTTGCTATTAATTCTCATCATTAAAATACTAATTGACACCTGCGAGAGTTACATGCAACTTCAGCTTCCATGCAAAATAATCGCTAAAACATCTGCATTAAAGCCTTCGCAGCTCATATTCTGATACGCTTCTAGTGGCATTAGCTGATGACATGTATGCCTGATGACGCTGAGATCTCACTTTAAGATAAGACAATTGCCAGTTATTCAGGCATGTGTGCAAACCCTGTTTCATTATCATTTGGGAACAAGATCGTACACTGTTCCTAAAACTACATATTCAAAAAAGAAGTTTGAAATCCTTGAAGTTGAGCGCTAAAAAATCACTTCTGTGACACTGTAAGAATTATTATTGGAATTCGATGATTGCATTTTCTTCATTTATGCTTGTTAATAATTGTTTGTTTGCTACGTTTGTATTATTTGTATGAATACAACAATTTTAAGTGTTCCGACAATTTTGATCGACACTTACTTGTTTATTTATCTGGCTTAGTGACGTCAGCTCAAAAGATGTACCTACAAAGCCAACATCAAGAAGTGATAACCATAAAAAGAAAGGGGGGCGCATCTGAAGAGTCTAAAGAGAAGTTCAAACTTTTATACAGTTCTTACAGTTGGCACTAACTGCAAGAATATAATCAAGATAGAAGAGCTTTATATGTGGAAATGTTTTATAGTAGAGCTATCAGTAGTATCGGATTGCCTCACTGAGACTGCTTAGGCCATCTTGATTATAAACTGTTAAATAGCGTTTGGCGCAGTTTTACCAGATCTAGCTAAAAGGCGATAGACAGAGTCGACGAACGTCAATGATAGATAAAGAAACTTGTGCTAATTTGAGTATAAGTCACCAGATCATGCTTGATATTGTTTTACTCACCGCAAAAAAAATCACGAATCAAGAGATACTGTAAGTAGTACGTGATAATTTCGTACCACTGTTTCATTGAAGCAATGAAGAATTCGAATAAACAGGATTTCTAGGAAATGACTGTCTGTATAAATTTATTTTGAGGAATCTGCGTCTGTCGCTTTTCATTACAGGACAGGCAAAAACATGAAAAAGATGTGAATTAAATGAGTGCACAAATTCCATTGGATTAGAAAAATAAGACAGCGTGGAAAAACAGCAGAATCTTCTCGTTAATCTTTTTTTTTTTTCTTTTCGGCTTTTCGATCCTAGCTAAACACAGGCGGTTTGTAACCAAAAAGGCGGTGAATAATTTTGCTCATTAGCTTTTTTTTTCTAAAAAAAAAGAAAAAACTTACTGCAGTTCAAATTTACATTATAGTCATAGGGACTAAAAGATGCATTTATCACCAAGAAAAGCTCGTAGTTGATCTGTTAGAGCTTTTATTAGCAGCTGCCATGCATCTGATATAGCTCCCTATAGCTCTTCCACAAAAGATTTTACGCTAAACACACAGACTTTCATAAAAATACAGGAAAGATATACTTGACTCCTTTTAACAATATAATTCGATAAAAAAAGATGCACAAACCGGTACAGAAACACCTATTTACCGGCACTGATAACCGCAAAATTTATTCAAAATTAAATAGCAGAAAAGCCCCAGACCAGATGATTTTTACAAAAGTAGCATTGACACGGTGCGGTTACTGTAAATGTTGAAGAGTAGTTGCAGATAGTAATGGAGAATGGGTCACTGATTGGTTAATATAACTTTGATTTTCTATCTAAAAAAAAAACATCCACTGAATATCCTGCATTATATGAAACACTTTATGATAATTTTATTGTTTTGCCCAGCTCGCCTGACTCACATTTTACTACTGTAACAAGAATTATAGACTCGGGTAGCGGCGTACACCAGAGTTTCCAGTGCACGCTTTGCGCCGAACGTGAAGCATCTGATTGTCAACAATATGAATGGTTGCTACTTTACAGCTTAACATGTGCACTTATGCTGGCTGTTTTTTGGTCTTTCCTTGCACGCAAGGGAACAGAGTTTCGACTGAGCAGTTGAATTGCTACATCATGCGGTCATGTGAAATCTTAAATTCCAGCATGCATTATTGCCGAATTTCATATGAAGGGAAATAAACTATTTTGCGGCTACAGGTCTTTCACTGAAAATGCATACTAGGCAACGAACAGATTGTCGGAACAGGAGGAGACAAAATCAGAGCAAAATGCACTCGTTTTTGAGGCTGCAATAGAATTGAGCAGTATGGGATATCCTTTAAAACTGCAGCTTCGCAGCTTGTCCCAAACCTCAAATCGTCACTTCACCCGAATGTTTTTGACTTGTTCTAAGGAGTGGTGCAGTTGCTATTCAAAATTTAATTTTGGTGCATGATTCTCAAGACGGACAATGAATATTCTTATAAAATTGCTGATATCATTTTTCAGCTAGTCCTCAAATCGGCACAGTGCCAAAGTTTCGATGTGTCCATGCTCAAGATGAAGCAAGTGCGCGCGATAGCTGAATTTGAAATCTTTAGCTCAAACACAGACAGAGACTGTCCCATTGGAATTCTAGCCTCCTATATTTACCGGTCCCCGAAACTGTTTCCCGCCGAAAATTTGCACGTTTCTTCAGGCGTCTGTAAT